CTCGCCTTTAGCCTCAGGCTGAACTCTCTCTTGGAGAGGGCGATGGAGAGAGATCAAGACGACCCCGGCTAACTTGTCAAGCTGAGGGATCTCAAGTGCTTTCACCATTTGGGAGCGTCGCGTTCTGATTCGTAAAATTTTGCAAGGAAGCATAGTCATAGTCCAGCCATTGGTTTTGTGTGGCGATTTTGATTTTTTTCAGTACAATAACTGCCACGCTTTGTATTGCATAAAAGTAGAAGCAGTTCAATCACGCAGTGCTGAGTCTTGCAATCTGTCATGAAGAAGGTCGCTGCTGTGACAGTGAGAACTTTGCACACCGTTCGTGAAGCAATTGTGCAGTAGCAAGGGTCTCACAGAAGGGCGAGAAGTTGTCACCCCTGCTTGCCACAAAAATCACAGGAAGTATCAAGACGACTGTTCCTGAGTCGGGGGCCAACGGCTCGCCTTTAGCCTCAGGCTGAACTCTTGGAGAGGGCGATGGAGAGAGATCAAGACGACCCAGGCTAACTTGTCAAGCTGAGGGATCTCAAGTGCTTTCACCATTTGGGAGCGTCGGGTTCTGATTCGTAGAATTTTGCAAGGAAGCATAATCATAGTCCAGCCATTGGTTTTCTGTGGCGATTTTGATTTTTTTAAGTACAATAACTGCCACGCTTTGTATTGCGTAAAAGTAGAAGCAGTTCAATCACGCAGTGCTGAGTCTTGCAATCTGCCATGAAGAAGGTCGCTGCTGTGAGAACTTTGCACACCGTTCGTGAAGCACAGTAGCAAGGGTCTCACAGAAGGGCGAGAAGTTGTCACCCGTGCTTGCCACAAAAATCACAGAAAGTATCAAGACGACTGTTCCTGAGTCGGGGGCCAACGGCTCGCCTTTAGCCTCAGGCTGAACTCTTGGAGAGGGCGATGGAGAGAGATCAAGACGACCCAGGCTAACTTGTCAAGCTGAGGGATCTCAAGTGCTTTCACCATTTGGGAGCGTCGCGTTCTGATTCGTAGAATTTTGCAAGGAAGCATAATCATAGTCCAGCCATTGGTTTTGTGTGGCGATTTTGATTTTTTTCAGTACAATAACTGCCACGCTTTGTATTGCATAAAAGTAGAAGCAGTTCAATCACGCAGTGCTGAGTCTTGCAATCTGCCATGAAGAAGGTCGCTGCTGTGAGAACTTTGCACACCGTTCGTGAAGCAATTGTGAAGTAGCAAGGGTCTCACAGAAGGGCGAGAAGTTGTCACCCGTGCTTGCCACAAAAATCACAGAAAGTATCAAGACGACAGTTCTTGAGTCGGGGGCCAACGGCTCGCCTTTAGCCTCAGGCTGAACTCTTGGAGAGGGCGATGGAGAGAGATCAAGACGACCCAGGCTAACTTGTCAAGCTGAGGGATCTCAAGTGCTTTCACCATTTGGGAGCGTCGAGTTCTGATTCGTAGAAGAATAGTTGTCCAACCACTGATTTGTTGTGGTGACCTGGACCTTTTTAGTGCTCTCGGTTTTCCAAGAAGTGGATGGTACAGAAGGAATAACTTGAATCGGAGAACGAACACCTGTTACCCTTTGGATTCCATGAAAGGTTGTTTTCTTGGGGACTTGGCAAAGGGGCCGGCTGCCAGCGAGATTCCCTAGCGAGGTTGCTGAATCGCAAAGGTCATTGGCCGGCCAACAATTAAACTGATGTGCCGATTAACAAAACATGTTGTTGGTGAAAGGGCAGCGAGTCTCTCAACGCAGTATTCTTCTGAACTTGTGGTTTTTTCGTTGGCCCTGAACATCAGCCAACCTTTTGTCGCCAGCAACACTTGCTGGAAAAGGCATTCATGAAGTAGTGACATGCCAAGAGTCTAAGAGCACGACGAACGGTTGTCACGCATGCTTGCCACGAAAGGTATCAAAACGATGCATGCTAATGTGTCAAGATACAGGATCTCAAGTGTTTTGCTGTTTTGGAGCGTCGCGTTCTCATTCGTAGGATTTTGCAAGGAAGCATAATCATAGTCCAGCCATTGGTTTTCTGTGGCGATTTTGATTTTTTTCAGCACAATAAGTGCCACGCTTTGTATTGCATAAAAGTAGAAGCAGTTCAATCACACAGTGCTGAGTCTTGTAATCTGCCATGAAGAAGGTCGCTGCTGTGAGAACTTTGCACACCGTTCGTGAAGCACAGTAGCAAGGGTCTCACAGAAGGGCGAGACGTTGTCACCCGTGCTTGCCACAAAAATCACAGAAAGTATCAAGACGACTGTTCCTGAGTCGGGGGCCAACGGCTCGCCTTTAGCCTCAGGCTGAACTCTTGGAGAGGGCAATGGAGAGAGATCAAGACGACCCAGGCTAACTTGTCAAGCTGAGGGATCTCAAGTGCTTTCACCATTTGGGAGCGTCGCGTTCTCATTCGTAGAATTTTGCAAGGAAGCATAATCATAGTCCAGCCATTGGTTTTCTGTGGCGATTTTGATTTTTTTCAGTACAATAACTGCCACGCTTTGTATTGCATAAAAGTAGAAGCAGTTCAATCACACAGTGCTGAGCCTTGTAATCTGCCATGAAGAAGGTCGCTGCTGTGAGAACTTTGCACACCGTTCGTGAAGCAATTGTGCAGTAGCAAGGGTCTCACAGAAGGGCGAGAAGTTGTCACCCGTGCTTGCCACAAAAATCACAGAAAGTATCAAGACGACTGTTCCTGAGTCGGGGGCCAACGGCTCGCCTTTAGCCTCAGGCTGAACTCTTGGAGAGGGCAATGGAGAGATTATTATGGAGAGAGAGATCAAGACGACCCAGGCTAACTTGTCAAGCTGAGGGATCTCAAATGCTTTCGCCATTTGGGAGCGTTACGTTCTCATTGGTAGAACTTTGTAAGGAAGAGTGGTCCAACCACTGGTTTGTTGTGGTGATTTGGACCTTTTTAGTGCTCTAAGTGCCGTGCCCCTTGCACGGCATAATTTAGCCCGCCACGGTCCATGGTAACAAGCGTTCAAGCAGAAGGTCGCTGCTGTGAGAACTTTGCACACACTTTGGGAAGCACTTGTGAAGTACGAGCAGTGCAACAGTGCAAAAGAAGAACAAACAGTTGCCACAAGTGGCTGCCACATGCATGGTGTTCAGATGGTGCCGGTAACCCTCGAAGTCCAAGTGTCTGACTGGAAAGGGGTTTTGCACCAAGAGATAGTCATTTTTTCATAACTGCAAGTACTTTACTCTTGATTAAACAAACATTTGCCCGCCACAGTGCGTTCCTGAGGACCTATCTCGCATTCCTGGGTCTTTGTGCTCCAACACGCAGAAAGTCCGTTGTGAAGCGGTATCAAAGCGATGCATGCTAATGTGTCAATACACAGGATCTCAAGTGTTTTGCTGTTTGGGAGCGTCGCAACGTAGCGCTCAAGTGTTCTCTTGCATGCTCATTGTGCGGGAAGGGTGGCCGCAGCCAGCCACGCGCTGTCCAAGGATCAAGCGCGAGCCTGACCATCTGTCCACCGTGGACGCATCGCTTTCTTTGTGCGGTTGTTATTTTGGCCTTGCTAGAATTCTGGGCACAGGGCCGGTGCTGAGATGAGTCTAAATCGTGACTTGCTTGGTAAATTTGTTGTGCAACAGTCACGTTCTGCGACAGTTTGATGGTGTGACCAGTCAGTGGTCCCGGCCCTGGCTGTGTTGCAGGGCAGATTTGGCTAGATCCGCGCACAGGCGATCAGCACGAGGCGGGGGTCACACGAAGCCACTTCAACGCTATTCCAGCGGTTCCAAATCGCCATGCCGGTGATGTCTTGCCTTGAAGCAGTTTGGGACCTGACACCGTACCTTCGCTGAACCGGAAGAGAAGCCGTCCCAAGTCTCGCCGGAGGTGCTCCCGCTGCACAAGTGGGTGCCGAGGTCAGGACGCTGGGATCTTTCCCATGCAATTCACAGAGGTCCCTACGGGTTGTTGAGGGATCATGCTTTCGAGCTTGCACGTTTTTCTCAGTTTGCTTCCAGTTTCCTCAAATTCTCTAAGCTTACTTGGTGCCTGTGCGGAGACCGTCAAGATTACACTAGCTCAAAGACATCAGAGTTTTCTTGGCAACTCACAGCATGCAGCAGGGCTTGCAGATGTGTGCACAGTCAGTGAGTTGTAAAAAAGAGAGCCTCAACCGACCAGGACTTCTCCTGAACTCTGTGAACATTTGAGGTCAGAATGGTTTTGCACATTCAAGCGCCCGGTACTTTGTCTGTCTCCAACATGAACGCAAAGAACCCATTTTGAAATTCTATGAGAATCTGGAATCTCTCGTGTGAAGAGTTGTGATTTGATGAAAGATGCATCTGCTTTTGCGCTGTCAGATGTTTCAATACATGTACGGGAGGAGTTTTCAGCGTTTTCCTATATTTCTATAGATTTCTGCCCGCACAGGATGTGTGAATACATGCAAATGGTGGATGATGGGATCATGGGTCCATGGTGGCGGGTGGCGCAACATCAACCTTACATTTTGGCATATTTTGGCAATGTTTAGAATCAACGCCCAGTGTTTCAACAGTTCAACATGATTCAACATGTATGGACTGCAGGTAGTGTTGCAGGTTCCTTGTAATGGTCGTGCCATGTCGTGCCCAGCTACAGCAGAGCATTTGAAATCTCTCGTCGTGAAGGGATACACTGATGAAAGATACATTTGCTTTTGAGCTGTCGGATAATGCCACCACCGTTTCAAATCGTTTCAAGAACTCTTGGCTCTGAGCATGATGCTGGGCGGTGGGGGAACATAGAAAGAATCTCCCGTACTGTGCTGTGCCTTGAATTCTTGGTGCAGCTTTTCAGATTGATTCTTGACGTCCCTCTTGAAGAATTTTTCATGTTTTTCTATGAGATTTCCGTCCACGCGGGATGTGTGAATACTTGCATGTGGCAGGTCGTGGATGGTGGATGGGCCCAAAGTGGCGCAACATCATTCCTACATTTTGCTGGCATCAACGCCAGTATTGCAACATGTATGGACATGTTTTTTTACGTCGAACTCTTGCAGATGAGGATTGAAACAGCCGGCTTCGACAGTTCCAAAGTGCAATGCCAATGGTTCCTTGCCCAACTGAAGCGTTTTGGGACATGACATGACCTGTTAATGAGTTTGACGATGCGACATTCATAGTTGGCAAGGTTGTGACGCTGAGCTGGGATCTTCCCGTGCAATTCAAAGGCCCACACTTTTGCTGAGGGAACATGTTTCTTTGAGCTTCCACGTTTTTCTCAATTTGCTTTGTTTTCTCAAATTCTCTTTGGTGTTTGTGGAAAGCCGTCAAGATTGCATAGCTTTGGTGTTCAGTCAGTATGCAGCAAAAGGCGGTTGTCAACATTCAAACGCTGGGTATGGTATATACCCTACGTCAACCGGACTTTATCACCCTGCTGATAGCCAAGTTGTGAAGATTCAGTCACGTTTCAACACCATTGATCGGGCTCCGTGATCTTTTCCAAGCGCCCGGTACTTTTTCTGTCTCCAACATGAACAGCAAAGAGCCCATTTTTAATTCCATGAGAATCTGGAATCTCTCCTGTGTGAAGAGATATGATGAAAGATGCATCTGCTTTTGCGCTGTCAGATGAGTTCCCGGCACCCCTGGACCTTGAGTTCAGTCGGGATTTGGAATGTCCAAGATCGACGTGTGAGTTTCTACATCCGCATGTCAACGCTTCAAGCCATTGTGCTTAATGTCTGTGCTCGTGCACAGTTGTCCGATGACTTTGATTTGTCAAGCGTTGCTCCGGCACACCAGGAGGATTCTGTGCAGTCGGGCAGCTTGCCGTGTGCAAAGAAGTGCTCAAGCGTTCTCTTGCATGCTCATTGTGCGGGAAGGGTGGCCGCAGCCAGCCACGCGCTGTCCAAGGATCAAGCGCAAGCCTGACCATCTGTCCACCGTGGACGCATCGCTTTCTTTGTGCGGTTGTTATTTTGGCCTTGGTGGAAGCACTGCGAAAAGGCCTTGCTAGAATTCTGGGCACAGGGCCGGTGCTGAGATGAGTCTCAATCGTGACTTGCTTGGTAAATTTGTTGTGCAACAGTCACGTTCTGCGACAGTTTGATGGTGTGACCAGTCAGTGGTCCCGGCCCTGGCTGTGTTGCAGGGCAGACTTGGCTAGATCCGCGCACAGGCGATCAGCACGAGGCGGGGGGCACAGGAGCCACTGTGGAATTAAAGTTCTTTTTTCCTTCTACTCAAGCATTAAATCAAAATAACTAGAGAGAGAGAGAGAGATATATAGTATTATATAGTCAATGAAAATGCGGCTCCGCTCGTTTCAAGATTTCTTGAGAGGATTTGGCGTGCAACTTGTGTGGAAACAATCAAAGAAAACATACTTGGAGGTTCCTTTGTTGGGTTTGGGCATTAGCGCTATGCCATCACATCAAAGGTAGGACGAGCACTTGCTTGTGCACTGGGTTTTTCCCTCCCTTGTGCGGTGGGATTTTCCCTGGCTTGTGCACTGGATTTGCTTTGGGCTAAGACCTGAAGCAATACAGATCAATATTGCGTGGCAGGTACGTTACATTGCATGTGAGAAGGAGTCGGGGTGAAAGCAGCGGATTGTCTCTGACGAGCATGTTGCAGCATGGCGTCAAGTAGGATAACATGCTCCGGCGTAGCATCAAGTAGGTAAGCCTGATGCAGTCTTTCAGCGTAGCATCAAGTAGGAGAGCATGTTCCAGCGTAGCATCAAGTAATTAGGCAAGCATGTTGCAGCCTAGCATCGTCGCCATTCTGGTGCGCGTGTGAAGGTACGTTAACATCCCACCCCACCCCACCCCACACCACCCCACCGCAGATGCGAATGTTGATGAATATGAGTGTAATTTCCCAGTGAGTTGGCTGATTGTTGGCTGTGTCAGTGCGCAAGTGAGTTGAAATTTATATCACTCAGTGCGCAAGTGAGTGAAATTTCCAGTGCGCAAGGGAGTGGTAGATTGCAATGAGCGCTGGGTTTGGGCAATAGCACCAGAGTTTCCGGTCTGATTTCTTCAGGAGGGAATGCGGAGAGATTTCGTGAACGTGTTTAGACCAAGGGGATCAAGGCGTTTGGTCTGAAAAAATCCCATTAAATCAACCTAGCGTAAATCCCGATAAATCCCATTAAATCACGGTTTTTGATGCTGCGATTTGCCAGGCTGACTCACCGCTCGAGTGGTGACTGAAACATTTGAGCAGCGTCAAAAACCTCCAAGTAAGAAAATTATATGGGGATGAAACTAAGTTGGGCCAGAAAAACATGCCTGTGCGACATTCATTTTACCTGGATCCTTTTTGTACAATCGTCACCTGCATCACACTCATCGCCATCATCATCACCATTATCCTCAGCATCATTACCTTTGTATTTCGTTTGAATCTCATCCACATCAACCACATGCAATGAATGTTGCACCCGCGTTCATGAAAACGTGTGATAGGTCGATCTTGACGAGAACCAGCCAAAAACATTGGGATCGGCACTCTCCTTTTCATCACCTGCTACCACATCCATACCTTTCGTTCCACGGCTGCTTGCCCTTAGGGATACTTCGATTCTTCTGTCACAAGCCTTGCGAGGGCCATACTTGAACTACATTTACACAGGTATATGGTGTACCGGTATTCACATCGTCAGAAATTGGCATGTCTTTTACCGTAAGAGTGAAAGTATGCGCAGGTGCATATACACATGTACAGACATACACATGTATCTGATACCGATATAAATAAACAAATATAAATAAATAGATAAATAAATAAACAAAAAATGTATAAACAAATAAATATATACATATATGCTCTGATCTCTTTGGATTCTATGCTTGAGGAACCACTTCCAATCTCCCAATCCCTTCATCGACCGACCCCAGCCAATTCGCCCCAGTGTGCCGGAGGCCATCAAGAAATGGAGACGGCGTGAAACCATGGCGCAGCTGTTTCGATTCCGGCCCCGATCGATCCACATATGTGTTGACAATGCCCTTGGGCCAGTGAAATAAGATTGGACATGGCAAAATAATGGTAGACACGAGGATCTTGAGAACGCAATTTTCACGTGCAGTGGGTGGTTGTTCGAACACAAAGTAAGCTTCAAATATAGCGCTTCGAGGGAGGAGGCCAATACAGTCAGGTTGTTCAGTAGGGTGACTATAGTATCCATGGGATGTTTGTTAACGTTTCGAAAAGCCGACCATGAAGCGAATCCTATCCCTGGTTGTGGGAATTGTGCTGCAGCGGTTATTAGTTATTAAATATGAGTCAGTATATCCAAAGGGAGCTTTTGGTGCTTGAACAATTTCGTCAAATTGCAGCATTGCAGCTTTGGTTCAAGTCGTGGTTGTGTAGCACCTTGCGTGCCCAAAAGATTCAACTCTGGTGATGATGCAGCTTTGCCTGCTAGATCGTTGTGTAACATGTGTCATTAGTGAGGAGACTCACCTGCTTCGTCTTTGCGGTTCAAGCTGTAGATAGGATATGATAGGATAATGATTTTGCTAATTTTCATAGGAGAGATTCGCCTGTCCTCATGTGTCCTCATGCACTTGACTAGCGTCAGATCGAGGACGAGTTCGCCATCAACATGCACTCGTTCAAATTTCTTTCAAGTTTACCTCAAAGGCGCATCCATCACATCTCCCACGCAATGTGTAAAAAGCAAGCTGCAGGACTCAAGGAAGCAGCCAGCAGGGGCTCAGGACATAGATCAAGTCACCGTGGCGCGTCTCGATTTTGGGCGCCTTGCCGAGTCCAGCTCGGGATCGCAGCATGCAGGGATGCCCAATGACTTATGCAGTAAAACTTGGGACCAGGCTGTGTGAACTTACACTTGGGGTCAAGGGTGAACATGGGCGAACATATTCTAATTAGAGTTGTCATGATGCATCAGATCAACATCCATTCATCCTGCAATCTTCTTGCCACAGAACCCTGACCATGACTGTCACGAGTAGGCAGCAATCCCATCACTTCATATCTTCATATCACTTCATCGTTTTATCTCCCAACATCTCCCTTTTGTATTAAGTAGCCTCATACTTCACAATACCAGATTAGAACCATGTATAAAAATCGTTCCATGACTTCAGCGATCTATGGCGTCTTACGGTCACCTGCCGTTCTTTCCAATGGCACGAGGAACTTCCGGTGACGCCAAAAGCCAGGTCCTGCCTGGGCTTCGCTTTGGCCTCCTCCCGACTGGTGGGCAGAGGCTCTCTGGAGGCGGACCTTCTCCGCAAAGTTTCGTAGAGGATGTTTTCGATCGGGAAGACATATGAAGACATCATCATCATTCTTTTTAGGGATTTTAGGGAGGGTATTCTTTGAGGAAATCGGCATGACTGGCACTTTTGGGTCGCCAGGATTGGGACTTGTCAGATCTCTTCGCCGATACTTCTTGGAAAATCTCCATCATTGGGAGTTTTGGAGAAGTAGCATTGCTCTTTCCAAGCTTTTCCCATCAAATGCGGAGGTTTCCTGAATCCCTGGGAGCCAGATTTGGTATTGGAAATCATTTGCTGAATCCATGAATTCATGAGGGTAGAATCCATGGGAAGCTCCGAGGTGGGTCACAACGCCCCCAACCAATGGCGCTTGGGACGGAGCGATGCTGGGGTCCCGGATGCGGCGGGGGGAACACCGACAACGTGGCAGAAGAGAATCGACAGCTTGGATGAGCCAAGTGAAATCAGCAAAAAATGGTTTCTTTTTCTCGGGTGTATGATGTATGCTGTATGGATACATTATATGATATAATTTATATATATATATATACATGTGTGTGTATTGAACATTGTATATCGTTGTATCCACATATGTTCAAGTTTTACGCCATATAATCTAAAGGTATACATGCATGTGTTCATGCATGTTAACATGGTCTATAAATGTTGAAGATATCCCAGTCACTAGTCATACGGGATCAAGACGCACCAGTAAATTCATCCGCCAGAGTTTTTGAATCTGGGCCTGACATACCTCCAGGGACCAGTGATGAAACGCTATAATGACATGATGTGCTATAAATACATGATTTATATGAGCTACATGTGCATATTATTTGATTAATTCTGGCTACATGGCTACATGGTACTGTGCACATGGTGGTTCATCATGCTCAGCAACTTTGTTTTTTCAACCTGGTTATTAAGTGGGCAACAGGGGGTTAGTCCACTGATCCAACACGTGGGGATTGCCAGAGAATCCCAACATTCCACCCTACCGGGCCCAGCGTCAGATTAAATGCCGTTATACCTCAACGATATCCCCATGATATCCCTATATTTTCCGATGGTATCCACGGATTATCAGATGAATACCCCGTGATATCCCAATTAAATAGATCATGTTCAAAAACATATTCCAGATAATATCTTTGTAATTACTTCTTGTATCCCGATGATGAGTTGACAATATCACCATAAACCCACAGATTCTCAGCTAAAATCAGTACCGTACATATATATATATTATATAGATTTGATAAGCTATCGCCATTACATCATACCCCAATATATCCATAGTATCCCAATACATCCATTATATCCCAATGATATCCCAATCATATCCCAATTACATCCCAATCATATTCCGATTACGTCCATATCATATTTCAATTACATCCCAATCCTATCTCAATTACATCCCAGTCGTATGTCTATTTATTTTACTGTATTCCAATCAAATCCCATTTACATCCCAATCATATGTCAATTTATTGTAGCCCAATCATATCAGATTTCAATCACACCCCAATCATATCTCAAGTACAACCGAATCATATCTCAATTGCATCCCAATTGTATGTCAACTTATTGTATCCCAATCATATCTTAATTACATCCCAAATATAAAAGATATACAGATTAGATCGTTGATATCCCATAAGGCAATGGATTGGGTTCAGGGAAATTTTACAGGAGCACCCTAAATTTGATTGTAAAAACCATGGTTTCCGGTGAAGTTTTTCCCTTGACATGAGAATATATCATAGATTAGATTATTGATATCCCAACATAAGAATACACCATAAAATAAATAAATAGTATATCCCACGTACATTCCATTCATAGATGTCCTTTTCCCATTGGTTGGTTGATGAATAGAGGGGTTTGAAGGTTTACCCCTAGGTAAATGATGATATATATTGATATATGGTATACCAAACCGGCCCCTCTATTTCTACCAAAAGGACATTATTGATCCCATTGCCCTCTGGTAAACTAATATAACTATGGAAAATCACCATTTTCAATTGGTAAATCCACTATTTCTATGGCCATTTTCAATAGCTATGTTAGTCATTACCAGAGGGTAATATATCAGTGATATCCGAAAAAATATCCCAACATCTCCCATAACTTCTCATGGATCCAGGCCGAGATCCGCAAGGAGGCTCAGAAGCGTGCCAAGGAGCGCCACTCCGAGCGGCCGCTCGTGTTCCTGGACATTGAGGTTTCGAAAAGGGGAATTTTGGGGGCTTGGGATTTCAAAAAATGCTATTTTTCAGGGGATTTTTGATACTTTTCGAAGGGGACTTCATGGAAGTTAGTGGGATTTTTCATGGGATTTAATTGGATATATGATGTTTAGCCTTTGGCAAATTTACAGTTTGCTATGGAAAATCATCAGTTTTAATAGGTCAATCAGTCCATGGTTTCCATAGCTATGTTAGGCGACTGGAGGGTACATACAAACTGTGGGGAAGGATTGAAAGTGAAACTTGCGGACATAATGTCTACTAGACATTAGTTAGTTGGACTGTGTTGGGAGTCAAACTAGCAGATCTTGAAGCTTTTTTGGGGGTGAAACCTGCAAGCAAAACCAGCAAACACAGCGTTTCTTTTTTTTGGGGCGGAGATTGCACCAACAAAAAAACTTGTTGAACAACTGGTTGAAAAACATTTTGAGCAACCAACATCATTTCCGCTGTGCTGGTGGTTTTCGGTTCTGTCTTCACAGGGCATGGTGACTTTTTGGGGCCAGGTAGCTGGCCATCCTGCAGCCCGTGTGGTCTGTGCGGCTCCCATCTGCAGCTTCTGCACAGCTGACAGTGGCTCCAATGTTTTCCAAGGCAAAGGTGCTCAGAAATGGCAGCCATTTTCCCATTTTCCAGGATTGAGTCTGATTCCGACCGGACTGTAAGTGCCGTTTTTGCCGTCACGATATATATTTTTTTACCAGAGAGCAGCTGATGTTACCAAAAGTCGGATCAAATGCCCGGATGTCACCAACTGGAGTGCTCAACAGTTCTCGTTTTTCCAATCAATGGATTGGTTTTCACGGGAAATCTTACCGGACACCTCCATATTTCATGGGAAATGCCTGGTTTCCCGGGGGATTTTCCAACCAATCCATTGTTCCAAGGCGAGTTGTTCAGTGACTTAGTGCCCAAGACCGTCGAAAACTTCCAATGCCTTTGCACCGGAGAGAAAGGCTTCAGCACGTCGGGAGACCCCAGACTCGTGAGAGCACCCCAAGATTTTGGCCTAACTGCAGATGATTCTTCTGACGTCCTTTGGATCTCCTCCTTACTGATTGAAACTATATGAATATCTGAATGTACATATATAATATATTATAATATTATATTCTATCTATCTATCTATCTATCTCTCTCTACTCTATCTCTCTACTCTATCTCTCTACTCTATCTCTCTAATCTATCTCTCTAATCTATCTCTCTAATCTATCTCTCTAATCTATCGATCGAATCTATCGATCGAATCTATCTATCTATCTATCTATTTATCTATCTATCTATCTATCTCTCTCTCTCTCTATCTCTCTAATCTATCGATCGAATCTATCTATCTATCTATCTATCTATCTATCTCTCTAATCTATCGATCGAATCTATCTATATATTATATGAGTATGATTGAATATGTAATTGATATTTCTGACCATACTTTTCCCCAGCATGTTCACCACGGAACAACTGTTGGCTGATGGCTGATGCGCGCAGAGCGACACTGAGGGCGGGAAAGCCTCTGCACTTCAAGGGCAATGCCTTTCACCGGGTGCCCCTGGCAGTTGAACGATGTTAAAGCTGGTGCTGTTTGAGCCGTTTGAAAGGATTCGTTTATTTAATCAGGACAAGTATGGATTATTACGGATTACTGTAATCATATGTCACTCCGATTTCAGCCTTTCTTGATATCCATGACTCTTCCGAAGCTGTTCTTAGGTGGTGCCCGGATTTGCAGTGCAAGGTGCTGAAGATGTCCAGTTTACCATCGCAAGTGACGCACCAAAGGTTGGGACATTATCCTGACATATTGTATGATATATGTATAGTCACTGTATAGTAGTATAGCATTAATATATCAATTGCATTCAATTGTTGGGACTATATGTATAAATACACATATATATATGTACATACACATAGATACACATACGCATCAGAGACATATTACATACTACAGACAATTGACACGTAACTTGACAATTATCGATAATTAAAACTGATTTGCTTGCCCTTTAGTGCTAAAGTCCTTGGAATAAAGGAACTGTGGACAATAGTAGGCAAATTATACTGGAAACCATAACTAAAAGTTATATGACTATATAAGTATAACCATTATAACTATGACAAGAATTATCCATCTGATAGTGTGGTAAAATGGGTAAACTCAAACAAAAACCATCCCTTTGATCACCAGAAATAGGTCGTAAAAAAACCCAAATTTTCCGAGGACCGCTTGCCCGTGGCCAGGTGGCGACATCACCCGCGGTGATGGTACTGGGGGCGAATCGGTGGGGGATCTTGGGATATATTCACGCCATAGTCTGAAGGGAAACACATGCAAATTTAAACAAGAAAACCATTTCCTGTACAGTTTCCGTTCATGCAACTTCAACCTTCATATTTGGCATTATTTGGCATTATTATTTGGCTGGTAAATCCATGGCTTTCCTGCGCTTTTTCCTTTCGCCAGTGACACCCCCTTGGCCCAGATCTGGGGTGGCACCTTCGACGACGAGAGCTTCGATCTGTCGCACGACGCACCCGGTGCCGAATCCGAGGAAGATCCAAGAAAGTGCAAGAAAACCACATGACAAGATAGACAAGTCACCAAAAAGATGAAAGAGATGGAACAGTAAATCAGCCAGGTGTCATGAGGAGAAAACAGAGAGGCTTGAATCATCAACGTGGTGGGCGATCACTTTTCTCTTTCTTTGGGGGCCTCCTTGGCATCCCGAAATTTTGGTCCAACGGGTCCAACATGGCGATTAGCATGCGTTTCCAAACATGCGATGGTTGACGAAAACAAGGTGAGAGACATGTCTCGGCCTATGTGTCCTCCATCATCAACCGTGATAGATATTGATAGATATTGATAGATTTTGTTGTCACATCTTCAGACGTTTTTCCACAGCAACCGTTGACAAAGACCAAAGGCCCCACATAGCGCCCACCATAGAGCCGAAAATCCTGCCGTCAAAAATCATGGGTTGGTTTCCCATAATTGGATTATAATTGGGGGATGGTCCGGGATGGTCATCAATCATCGTCCACTAAGGGATTTATAGAACCAGAAGGCTTCCACTAAGGGACGTGACGCCAGGTCTCTTGAGCATGGCGAACCGTGGGCCCAACACCAACAGCTGCTTGGTCGGTCGAATCGACCCTTGGGATTCCGATTTTCAGCCCAAGATAGCCCGATATACCCTCTGGTAATGACTAACATAGCGAACTGGAAAGATCCACCATTTTTCATGGGAAAATCCACTATTTCTATGGCCATGGCTTCAATAGCTATTTGTATGTTTACCAGAGGGTAGCCCAATAGCAAATCTCACCGACCCCTCTGGTTGTTAAAAGGGACTTCATTGGTCTACGGATGTCTACGGTGTAAGTCAAGGAAGCCAACACCTTCCGCCATGATTTTTGTGAATCGAGGGTTTGCCCCATTCTTTTTCCAGCTCGCATCCGCTCACCTCCCTCAGCAGTTGGGAAGATGATCCCCACACTACTCCAGCTGACAAATGAAGATGGATCACAACTTATCAAAACCGTTCAAAACATACATGAAATGGCATGTTTGAGTGGGATGAACAGAACACCTAAATGAGTCCCAGTTATTTTTATGTCATTTTCCATCGTTCACCAGGGATTCCATCAGTGACCCCAAATATTCCAAGGATGGGTTGAAACCACACAGCCTCCCAGTCGCGGCCCAGATTCGCAGTTCTTCATTCTGACAAAGGCGCTGCTCGCAGCCGCGTGAGACGTCATGGATTTTCATGGGGTCTTTATGGGCTTTTAATGGATGTTTATAGTGGGATTTTCATGGATTTTTAGTGGGATTTTCATGGATTTATTGGGATAATATGGGGATCTACGATATTTAGCCTATGGTAGTTTTAGCCATGGCCATGGAAACTCGCCATTTTCTTCCAGCATTTTCCGCATGTCCGCTTTTCGGATAGAGTTGGGCACGCCAGGCCTATCCCAAACTCGATTTGAAGCACGTGATCTTTGGCCGAGTGCTGGAGGGGATGACGACCATCCGCCGCCAGGGCCCTGGCGGTGGCAAGGGACATCAGACGATGATTTTAGTCATATATTTGATCGTGGGATATATTTCATGATCTATAATATTGAATGCTCTATAAAACAGATCAGGGCGATAATTGGTAATATTTTGGTAGAGGTCTGCAATGGGTCGTTCTTTGCATTTTCCAAAGGTTTTCGAACATCGCCCCACCAGTTTCCGTTCAAAATGCCATCGCCATCAACGATTCAAGGCATTGAGGAGGTCTGCGGCACAGCGGATGCCGGCTCCGAACTGTGCTTCTTGGTGACGTAAGCCCGGGATCATTGGTCGACGTCCTGGTTAGACGTCCTGGAATAGGACGGTAAAATGTGGTAAACCCAATGGCAAACAACGTACAAGAGACCAATGGGTGATGGTCGATTGATGTTTGTTGGGCTATGTTGGGTTGAGTGGCCTATCCTCATTCAGTTCACACGTACGGAAAAACATCAAAGGACATCTACGTGGGGAATAATTCGGGCCATGAAAGAGTCCACGTTTCTTTCTCAAACCACCCCAGCGGCAAAGCCAAAGGATTTGCATAAAAGTTTAAAAGGATCCGGAGTGTCAGACGCTGGGTAAAGCTGTGAAGACCATTAGTAATTCATATCCCAATATTTTCATACCCCAAGAATTTATTAATAAACAATCCACATTACCGCTCAGATCATGAAATTCCCAATTTTACACTGGTGAATTCGCCATATTTCGCCATTATATAGCTATTCCTTTTTGTTCGCCATTAACACTTTTTCCGTTGAGGTCGTGCTCAAAAGCACCACGGGGTGTTGGCCTTCAGGTTGGGCACCCAGGATGAGGGAACAAATGGTCACCTCGTGAATTGAACCGTCTGCAACCGTCTAAGGTGAAAATAAGGTGTATCTTCACGTACGGAAAATGCACATTGACACAGATTTGTTTTCTTCCCCCCTCTCACTCTCTCTATCTACATCTACATTGACATCTACATTTACATCTACATTTGCATTGATTGATTGATTTTTTGATTGAGTGATTTGGTTATATATATATAGACGTATACATATATCTAAATATAATATTGATAATGTCTATATAATATTAGTGTTTTATATCTATCATCGCCTATCTATATCTATAATCTATACTTCTTTGTCCAGTCCCTTGCTCCCGCCGAAGCTCCGAAGCTCAGGCCTGGCCTGGGGGATGCAAAGGCCATCATCGTTGATTGCGGAGTCTTGAACCAGGTGGTGAACCCAGTGGACCCAAACTTTCACCAAACCTGGGGAAGAAACTGGGCTCAGTGACTCATCACATTTTTCTGGGGATTGTGGAGGATGAGGTTGATGGAAGTATCTTGGGATGAGTGGCTGGATGGAAAGTTGATGGAAAGTTGATGGAAAGTTGATGGATAGTTGATGGAAAGTTGATGGAAAGTTGAAGAGTCAATCTTTTCGGTTGATGATGAAATGAAGTGCATCCACATGAATCCACCTCCCAAAGTCCCCAGCTTTGGCCATGGCACCATGGCCATGGCGGCCATGGCGCCATGGACTCGCCAGGAGAAGGGCGATCCAGACGCCAAGCGTTCCAAAAGCAACGGACAGAGCGGCCCCTCCGAGGCCTGGAGTCCTGGAGCAATGGAACGGAGAAAACCGGGGCGCCATGGGGCGCCCCTTCAGGTGATGTCAAAAGGGGGTTGGGTCAACAATGGGGCGATAATACCTAACCCCCTAAACTGGAGTGGACTGGTGGAACTGGTGGAATTGTCATCATTGTCCTTCTTA